GAAGGATCGCCAGAGCCCAGCAGGTCGAGGCTGTGGTGGCCGGTAGCGGCCACTGCACTCTAGTCTGGGCGACAGAGTGAGACTCCAACTCAAAAAAAGAAAAAAAAATTTTTTTCTTCCTTCTATTTTCTTTCTTTTTTTTTTATTGTTCTTATTTCATTGCTGTGATTGTTATTCTAAATTATTGAGGTGAAAACCAACTTTAATTTCTGTCTTCTTGGTTTTCTAAATACTTTTAAAGTCGTAATTTTACCTCCTCACTTTGGCCCCATGGGTTTTGATGTATATATAAGTACAGCAGTTCCAATGTTTTTGTTTGATTACTTGTAAGTCATTTGTATTTTCTGTTTTTATTTTCTTTTCAACCCAAGAGTTATTTAGAAGTGCATTTAAAAATTTCCAGTTGGAAGAGGGATTGATACTATGTTAATTTTTTTTTTGTTTTGGAGTTGGAGTCTCACTCTGTCACCCAGTCTAGAGTACAGTGGCACACTCACTGCCACCACAGCCTTGACCTGCTAGGCTCTGGCGATCCTACCACCTCAGCCTTCCAAGTAGCTGGAACTACAGGTGCGCCAATATCGCATAGGCCATAATCAGTTACCATAATGTAGTATTAAAAATTAACATAGTATTGGCTGGGCTCGGTGGCCCAACCTGTCAGCCCAGCACTTCAGGAGGCCGAGGCGAGAGGATTGCCTGAGCTTGCGGGTTCGAGACCAGCTTGGGAAACATGGTGAGACCACGTCTCTACAATAACATAAGAAAATTTAAATCTCCTGTGCTAGCCGGGCTCGGTGGCTCAGCCTGTAATCCCGTGCTTTGGGAGGCTGTGGTGAGTGGATTGCCTGAGCCCGCGGGTTCGAGACCCGCCTGAGCAACTTGGCGAGACCTCATCTCTACAATAAATTAAAACTAGCTGGGTGTGGTAGCACGCGCCTGTAGTTCCAGCTATTTGGAAGGCTGAGGCAGAAGGATCGCCGGAGCCCAGCGGGTCGAGGCTGCGGTGGCCGGGAGTGGCCACTGCACTCCAGTCTGGGCGACAGAGTGAGATTCCAACTCAAAAAAAATAAAAATAAAAATAAATAAATCTCCTGTGCAGCAGAGTGAGATTCCAACCCCCACCCCCCAAAAAAAAAGAAGTTTATTGATCCTTGACTTAAAACTTAGTGTTTGTGACTTTTTCATATGGGTTGAAAATATGTGTATTTTCTCTTGGGTGCAAGTTCCTTATATCCCTGATGGAATAACGTAAGTTGTATTATACCAATCCTTATATCCTTCCTCATTGTTGGTCGCTTTGATTATAGATGTCTGAGAGAGATGTATATAAACTTCCTATCACAACTAAATTTGTTCACTTCTCATATTGTACTCAAGGTTACCTTTATATCCTTTGAAGTTTTTTTTTGTGCATAGTGTATAAAGGTCATAACTATATTTTTCTGCTGTTTTTCCTGCATACAGTATGAAATAACACTCTGTGTCCTGTTTGTATATTTGTTTATTTTTGCATGCCTTGATTCTTTCACCCTAAAGAATATTATTGTTTCTGTCAAGATTAGGTTCAACAGCATATATTAGAAAAAAATGTTAAACAAGAAACAAAATAGTTTATGGTTGGGTGTGGTGGCTCATGCCTGTAATCCCAGCATTTTGTGAGGCCCAGGCAGGGGTATTGCTTGAGCCTAGGAGTTTGAGACAAGTCTAGGCAATGTAGTGAGACCTTGTCTCTACAAAAAATAAAACAAATTTAACTGGGCATGGGGGCATGCGCCTGTACTCCCAGCTACTCAGGAGGCTGAGGCGGCAGAATTGCTTGAGCCCAGGAGGTCGAGACTGTGGTGAGCCACGATCATGTCACTGCCCTCCAGTCTGGGCAACAGAGTAAGACTCCAACTCAAAAAAAAGTTAGTTTAAACAAGGAAGATTATTTCTTTCTTGGGTAAGAGAAATCTGGAGATAGCTATCCCAGGGCTCTGCAATGTCATCTGGGACCCAGGCTCCTCTTCTGCTTCACCATCTTGGTATATGGTTTCCATCCTAAGGTCCCCTCGTGGTCCACGAGACTTCTGGAGCTCGAGCCAGCACATCTTCATTGAGGGCCAGAAGGAAGAGGAAAGGTAGGAGGGCAAAAAGGGGTCTGTCCCCAGCTCAGCTGATTTCTAATAAGTGACCTTTTCAGAAGTCCCAGAAAACAATTCTACTTGTGTCTCATTGGCAGAACTTAGTCAGGTGACAATACCTAAGCTACCAAGGAGGCTGGCAAGTCTAGTTTTTAAACTTCTAGGTAGGTCTGTCTTGGCTAAAAATTGGCATTGTGTTATCAAGGAGGAAGGTGAGAATGGCAGCCAGTAATTTCTGCTGTCACCTGTTATAGTTCTTGTTAGTATTTGTTTGCCTCTTACAATTTTTCCTGATCCTTTATTTTCAGTCTTCCTCAGTTATTTTGTTTCAGGTATGTCTCTTGTAAACTACAGCAAGATCTTGAGCTATTTGGTTTTAGACAATTGGAATATCTGCCTATTAATAAGTGAATGTGGCCAGACTCGGTGGCTCAGCTTATAATCCCAGCACTTTGGAAGGCCGAGGTGAGTGGATTGCCTAAGCCCGTGGGTTCGAGACCTGCCCAGGCAACTTGGCGAGACCTCGTCTCTACAATAAATCAAAAACTAGCTGGGCATGGTAGCACGGGCCTGTTGTTCCAGCTACTTGGAAGGCTGAGGCGGAAGGATTGCTGGAGCCCAGCAGATCTAGGCTGCAGTAGCCGGGAGCGTACCACTGCACTCCAGCCTGCGTGACAGTGAGACTCTGACTCAAAAAAAAAAAAAAAAAGTGAATGTAATGCATTCATTTTTTTATGATTGTTGATGTGTGTGCAGCATTCTTGCCATTATCTTTTTTGCTTTCTGTTTGCCATGCTTTTGATTTCTTTTTTCCTTTCCTGCCATTTGTTGGACTGTGATTTTTCTCAGAAATTGTCCTTACTGTATCAATTTTTTGGTTATTACTCTTAATGTTTCTTTATGTTGAAATTATTTCCCATTTACAGAAAAGTTGTAAGAATAGTACAAAGGATTTCTGTATATCCCTTATCTAGATTCCCTAGATGTCAGAATTTTGTCAAATTTCCATTAACTTTTTATCTCTTCATATGTATGCATATGTTTCCTGAACCATTTGAGAATAGGTATTTCCTTAGACATCGCTTAAAGAATAAGGACATTCTCTTAGATAACCAGAATATAATTGTCAATATCATGAAATTAAAATCCATGCAATGTTATTATCTCATCCACAGGTAGTATTCAGATGCTATCATCAATTTTTCTAGTAACATCCCTTATAACAAAAGAAAAAAATCTTTATTCTGGTCCAGGATGCATATAATTGTCTTGACTCTTTAGTTTCTTTTGATCTGAAGCAGTTCCTGTGTCTTTTATGACTGACATTTTTGAAGACTACAGGCCAGTTATTTTGGGAAATGTCCCTAATTTTGGATCTGTTCATGTTTTATTATGATTAGATGCAGATTATACAATTTTGGCAAAAATACCACTGAGAAACAATGTTGGTTCTTCTTGGTGTTTTATATCCGGAGGCACATGATGTCAATTTTTTTCATTACTTGTGATTTTAACTTTGGCCATGTGCTTAAGGTAGTGTTGGGTAGGTTTTTCCACTTAAAGTTACTATTCTCTTTGAAATTAATAAATACAGTCAGTGCTTTATATGCATGGGGTCTGTAATCATTGATTCAACCAACTGTGGATCAAAAATACTCAAAAACAGTTGTGTCTGTACTGAACATGTATTGACTTTTTAATATATTGTATTAGGTATTATTAAGTAATCTAGAGATAATTTAACATATATGGGATGATGAGCACAGGTTATATGCAAATACTGTGCTATTTTGTATTACGGATTTGAGCATCCATGGATTCTGTTGTCTGTGGAGGTCCTGCAATGTTCTAATCCCATCATTCCTTTTACATTTACTAGTTGGCATTCGACTTCAAGAAAGAGCTTTATCTTCATCTTATTTGATTATTTATTTATGTATTTGTATTAGTGTGAACACCTGGATTCTCATTCAGTGGGTTTTAATCCATTACTATTATTAGTTATTTTGAGGCATATATTATTTCAGAATCAGCTAGTGGAAGTTCCTCCTATGTTCTTTTGACTTGTTCCCTTACTTCGAGTACTACCTGATTTTCTGGCATAAGAATATGTTCCCGGTTCATCTCATTCTTTCCTCTACCCAACCTGGATTCACTACTTCTCCAAGGAACCTTGATTCCTTTTTTTAAAAAAATAGCTTTATTGAGGTACAGTTGGTACATGTGTAGCAACTATAAATGCTACTGTATTAATTTTCAATTTCCTATTCATTGCTAGTATATAAAAATGCAAATCATTTTTGTATGTTGGTCTTATATCCTACAACCTCACTGAATTCACTTAATTTTAGTAGCTTTTTTGAAGAGTTCATTAGATTATCTACAAATAATTCTGTCAACTGTGAATAAAGGCAGTTTCTTTTTTTCTAATCTAGATGCCTTCTGTTTATTTTTATTGCCATATTGCATCATTGGTCCCTCCAGTAAACTGTTAGATACAACTTGTGAGAGTGGTCATGGTAACTTTGTTCCTGGTCTTTGGAAAAGTCATTCAGTCTTTCACTATTAAGTGTGATGTTGCCTAAAGATTTTTCATAGATTTCCTTCATTAGCTTGAGGAAGTTTCCTTCTATTCCTAGTTTGCTAGTAATTTTTTTAAAAAATAGATGTTTGTTCAAATGTTTGTTCTGTATCTATGGAGATGATCATGTAGTAAACAGACTATAACTGTTACTATTGATTAATTATATTGATGGATTTTTGAATATTAAGCCAACCTTTTATTCCTAGAATAAACCCCTGAGGTCATGATGAATTATCCATTTTAGATATTGTTGGATTTTTTTTTTTTTCCAAAGATGATGGAGGTCTCACTCCATCACCCAGGCTAGAGTGCAGTGGCATGATCATAGCTCACTGCAACCTCAAACTCCTGGGCTCAAGCGATCTTCTCACCATAGCCTCCCCAGTAGCTGGGACTACAAGCACATGCCACCATACCCAGCTAATATTCTTATCTTTTTTTTTTTTTGTAGAGACAGTCTCACTATGTTACCCAGGCTGGTCTCAAACTCCTGGGCTCAGCAATTCTCCTGCCTCAGCCTCCCAAAGTGCCGAAATTACAGATGTGAGTTACTGTGCCTAGCCATATTGTTGAATTTGATTTGCTAAAATTTTGTTCAGAGTTTTTTCATCTGTATACATGAGGAATATTCATTTTTATTTTTAAAAATTATTTAATTTGTAAAGACAGGGTCTCACTAAGTTGCCCAGGCTAGTCTTGAACTCCTGACCTTAAGTGATCCTCTTACTTTGGCCTCCCAATGTGCTAGGATTACAGGCATAAGACACTCATGCCTGGCTAAGTTTTGTTTTCTTTTTTTTAGTATTGATTTTCAATTTGTTTTATTTTAAAGATGTGGCTTTTGTATCAGAGAAATGCTGGCTTTAGGAAGTTATTTCTTCCTTAAGTGGTAGGCTCCACCTAGGAAGCCTTCTGCATCTAGAGTCTTGTTTGTGGGAAGTTTTTAATTACAAATTTGATTTACTTAATTGCTACAAGGCTATTTGGATTGTTTATTTTATTTTATGTTTATTTCAATAGCTTTGGGGGCGTACAAATAGTTTTTGGTCTGGACTTTAAGTGTACACACCATCGCCACCTCTATACATTGTACCTGATAGATGATTTTTTGTCCCTACACCTCTTCTCCCCTTCCCCTTCTGTTATCTATTTCTTTAGAGCAAGCTTTGGTAGTTTGTGTCTTTCGAGGAATTTATCCATTTCATCTAAGATGTTGAATGTATTGGTATCAAGTTGTTCATAATATTCTCTTATCCTTTTATCATCTCTAAAATCTATAGTAATGTCATCTCTTTCATTCTTATATGGTAATTTTAGTCTTCTCATCCCTATACTGATAATTTGAGTCTTTTAAAAAAAAAATCTGGCTATAAGTTTTACAGTGTTACTGATTATCTCAAAGAATCACCTTTGATTTCATTGATTTTTTTTCTATTTTTCTGTTTATTGTTACATTTATGTCCATTCTGATATATGTGATTTCTTTCTGCTTACTTTGAGTCGTCTTTTTTCTTCTTTTGTTCTTTTATTTTTCTAGGCTTGTTTTTTAGGGCAGATGGAATTTGAGTTCATTGATTTGCAACCTTTCTTCTTCTTTTTTTTTTTGAGTTGGAGTCTCACTCTGTCGCCCAGACTGGAGTGCAGTGGCCGCTCCCGGCCACTGTAGCCTCGACCTGCTGGGCTCCAGCGATCCTGCCACCTCAGTCTTCCGAGTAGCCAGAATTAAAGGCATACGTTACCACGCCCAGCTGATTTTTTGATGTATTGTAGAGATGAGGTCTCGCCAAGTTGCCCAGGCAGGTCTCAAACCCGTGGGCTCAGGCAATCCACTCACCTCAGCCTCCCAAAGGCATGGGATCTTCTTTTTTATATAAGTATCGTGTGCTATAAATTTCCTTCTAAGTACTGCTTTCGTTGTATAAATACTTTAAATTTTTCCTTTTGACTTTCTTACTGATCCCCAGGTTATTTAAAAGTGTTATTTAGTTTCTAAGTACTTTGGGATTTTCTTGATGATATCCTTCTGTTATTGATTTCTAATTTAATTCCACTGTGGTCAGAAAAAAAATACTACATGTGACCAGGCATGGTGGCTCATGCCTGTAATCTCAGCACTTTGGGAGGCTGAGGTGGGAGGATTGCTTGAGGCCAGGAGTTTGAGACCAGCCTGGACGACATAGCAAGACCTCATCTCTACAAAAAAATTAGCTGGGTGTAGTGGTGCACATCTGTTGAGCCAGCTATCCACGAAGCTGAGGCAGGAGGATCACTTGAGCCCAGGAGTTCAGGGCTGCAGTGAGCTATAATCGCACCACTGCACTGCACTCTGGGCAACAGAGCAAGACCCTCTCTCTAAAAAAAATAAAATAAAATGCTTCATGTGACTTAAATCCTTTTAAAAATTGTCAAGAGT